GTTAATCACTCTTTCCTACTTGAATCATTTTCTTCACTTGGCATTCAGAAAACGAATTATCTAAATTCACTTTTTAAAATTTATATATCTATATATATTTTAAAGACATGAACTCCTGATACAGGCAACCACATGGATGAATCTCAAAAGCTGAGTGAAAGAGCCAGACCCAATGAGATGCACAATGTATGATTCCATTTATATGACATTCTGGAAAAGGCAAAATGGCAAAAAAATGATCAACTACCAGGTCGCAGGGTCTGGGGTAGCCAACAAAAGGGCACAAGGGAAGCTTGTGGAGTGATGGAACTGTTTTGTATCTTGAGGGTAGTGATGTGACAGTGTGAGTTTGCCAAAAATCAAAGAGTAGTGCCTTTTAAAAGGGTGAGTTTTACTGAATGTAATTTAAACTTCAATAAACCTGATACTAAAAAAAAAACAAACATCTTAATCGAGTACCTACACTGTGCCAGGTCTTTTGCTAAGCCTTGACCTCCAGGGCCACCCCATAAATGGTACAGTATGCTCCATTTAACGCCCTGAACAACCTACCCAAGGTCAGGGGGAGTACCAGGGGGAGCTGGACTTAGACCCAGGAGCCTGCGAGTCACCCAAGGGCTTCCAGTTCTCAGTTTGAGGGAGTGGATGAGGCAAGCAGCCCCCATGTGCTACGTCCCTCCTGAATGCTGACAGGTTCCCACATTCTGTCCCCACCCCGACCTCTCTCCTGAGTCTGACCCCCGTAATCCACCTGCCAACGCTCCCTGGAAGGCCCCCACGCACCTCAAACATAACACACAGCAGACTCACATCCCATATATCAGCAAATTCTACCAGCCTCATCTTCAAAACACTGTCTGAATCTGACAACTTTTCACCATCCCACCCCTACCTTTACCTAATCCAAGATGCCACTGTGTCCCCTGGGCCAGGAACAGCCTCCTCACTGCCCCCGTTTCTGCCCCTGCCCATCCTCCTCAAAAACTTCCGGTGAGTTCTCGTTAAATTTGAAATAAAATCCAGACTCTTTAAACCAGTCTAAGACTCTGTATGATCCAGCTCCTGCTATCTCTTGGGCCTCGCCACTCTCACTCTTCCCTCACTCCCCCTGCACCAGTCACAATGGCGCCTTGCTCGACTTCAAACACACAAGGATGTCCCTGCCTCAGGGCTTTTGCACCTGCTGTTCCCGCTGCTTCAGTGCTCTCCATTGCAAATAATTTGCAAACCTTGCTTCATTAGGTCTCTGCTCCAAAGTCCCCTCCAGAGACAGGTTCCTCCTGCCCCTGCTTTGCCCCTTTAACCTGCATCATAGCATTTATCTCTACCTGATACTATATTGTGATTTAATTCCGTGAGATCAGCCAACTCGACGGCAGGACTCGGTGGCATTTGCTGCTGCATCACTCCTGGAACACGGTAGGCACTCAAGATGTATTTGTGGAAGGAAGGAACCACGTGTCCACTATTTGCATCTCCTGGAGCATCACCCTCTCTGCTTTTCCTGGCGCAAACCAGGCCCCACGAGAGAGCTCCCTGCTCCGCGCCCCATCACCAGCCTGCCACTCGAGGCGTGAAGGACACTGTGAGTCTCCCAATTTGGGGGCCATCTACTTCCCCAGGGAGAACAAACCCTTAAGAGTCTCCTCTTTCTTGTCACTTCCAACCAAACCAAATTTATAAGACATCGTGTTAATACACAGAAGCAAAAAAACAGAAAACAGGGCTTCCCTGGTGGCGCAGTGGTTGGGGGTCCGCCTGCCGATGCAGTGGGTGTGGGTTCGCGCCCGTCTGGGAAGATCCCACATGCCGCGGAGCAGCTGGGCCTGTGAGCCGTGGCTGCTGGACCTGCGCGTCCAGAGCCTGTGCTCCGCAGCGGGAGAGGCCATGGCAGTGAGAGGCCCGCATACCATAAAAAAAACCCAAAAACACAAAACAGTTCACCCCAGGTCCTCCCTCATCTTTTAAAAATTTAGTAGCTACCTCCATCTCCTCCAGAGGGACTTTATATCTGAGCTGGCACACAGGCTGGATACACTGGAGCTCCCTGGGTCCTTGCCGACAAAAATTAGATGCCCGAGGAAACAGAAGAGACTCAAAATGCCAATGCCTGATTTTCCGGTCCTGGGGTCATGGGGCATTGTCCTCAGCCTGGATGCCCCCTGGCCCAGAGGATGCTCAGAATTATCCAGGAGATCAAGCTGGTGGGTGTACTCCCATTCTACATCTGGGTAAACTGGGGGCTGTTTTCGTGGGACTGAGAGGGCGTCAGTCTGGTTGCTTAAGGTCCTTCAGGCCTGGGCTGGGCCTGGGCAACCTCGTGCCTGCTCAACTGAGGCCAAACCTCATTGAATGCCCTATTTTTTTTAAAAAAAAGCCTTCTGCAGTCTGAAGAGGAAGATGGCTACTTGGCGCTGCTCCTGGGTGCCGGGCAAGCCTGGAAGGGCTCCCGTGGACCCGGCCGGGCCTTACCTCTTGATGACGAACTGGATGCTGTTGCTGGCCTCCAGGATCTTCCGGAGCTTGGCGATCCCGAAGCAGTTGGGCCTGCGGAGGGAGATGCCTTCAGGCAGCCCCACCACAAACAGCTCCTCTGGGTACATCAGGAACTTGGAGTAGGGCACCTTGACAGGCTCCGAGATGCCAATGGCCTTGGCTGCAGAGATACGGCTGCTGTAGGGCCACCCAGATCTATGGGGCCACGAGCCTCAACTCCCACCTCCCATGTCTGCATGGGGGGGCCGCAGGTGCTGGAGCCCTTTTGAAACTTAGCCCTTAGTTGAACCCTCCTGAACCTCCTGAGGTAAGTACTGTTAGCCCCAGGCTGTGGGTAAGAGTCCCAGAGCCCAGAGGGGACGTGACCTGTCTCAGGTCTCAGAGCCCCAGAGCTGGAGGATGTGAACCCAAGTAAGTGGGGTCCCCAGACCTACGCTCAGTTCATGCCCTCATACCCTGGCAATGCAGGAGAAACTGCTGATGGCTGGTGAGACCTGGCATCGGCTCCACCCAAGTCCACTTGTCCCCGTGCTGCCAGAAAGGCCCTCCAGAGGGTCACCCTGCCACCATAAATAACCCCAACCCCCCGCATGGCCCAACACCACGCCTTGGGAACCAGAGAGATCTGAGGCCCAGGCCAGGCACTGCCGCTCACTAGTTCTGGGGCCTAGGACAAGCTACATCACTTCCCCAGGCCTCATTTTCCTCATCTGTAAAATGGGCATTAGGACACAGGCATTTTGTGAGATGGGACGGGAGAACTCATGTGAAGCACCTTGCCAGTGCCTGGCCAACCACAAGGGCTGAACGAAGAGTAGGCTTCTCCCTGCCTCCCTGTTTTCTTTCCTGGTCTTTCTAGTAGGAACGACCTTGTTTTCCATCTGTCCTCCTGAGGACCCTGAACTAGGGTGTCTGTGGGTACAGAGGGGCAGTGACAGCAGTCAGAGTGGCCTCTGTAAGCTGAGGCTGAGGCAGACAGTGAGTGAGTGTGAGCCTGTTGAAGGAGGAGGTGGGGACGCTGCGTTTCAGAGGGTGGGGTTCTCTGGCAGTGCCTCAGTCTCCCCGGGAGGGAGGTCTAGAGCTGAGGAAGGGGCAGGATGGCAGCCCCTGCAGAGCCCCGGCCCTTTTCCAGTGGGTCCCAGCCCCTCCAGCCCCTCCCTCCTCTGTCTCTGTTCCAGGAGCAACTGGGATGGGGGGTCAGGCCCTCTGAAAACGGCAGCTGGAGGGAGGCCTGGATGCCCTCGACCCTACCCGGCTCCTCACTCACCGTATCGCGTGTTGAAAAGCAGCTCCACCTGCTTCCGCAGAGGCCGGATCACGTCACCATGACTGTCTGAAAGGCAAAGAAGTTTGGTGAGCCTCCCCAGTGGCAGCAGGACCCTGCTTCTCAGCTCAGGTCCTAGGTCTGCTGGCACCAAGAATGACCCTGTGCTGGGACCTTGGAATGGGGAAGGGTAATGGTGGCAGGTAACCTACTTCCTCAGAAGTGGCACCCCTGCAGACGGGTCCACAATTCTGGGGCTCAAATACCTGCTTGTGAAATCGGATCTAGGGCATTACCAGGACTGAATGGAAGGTTTTGAGGCCTAAGAATGACCATGGGTCTTTCTATGTGAATGTCACTCTAGACCAGCACCGTAAGTGACTTAGCTAGCACGTGAACTCTAAGCCTGCAAATTGAGTATGCCGCCACTAGGTGGCAGTGGATGTTGATTAAAACTTCAGAGTTCCTCCCCTGCCAGGCTGGGTTTGGCATTGGGAAAGTGATGCTCCTCTCCTCTGACATCCACTCATTCCGTTCCAGGGGTGGAAACAGACCCATCCTCACCTTGATCTCCCTGCCTGTCCTACTCCCACCCTCCGCAGGGTGGGAATAAGCAGTGTTCCTGAGATTGAACATGTCTATTGGACACAAAGCCAATTTTGTGCTTTCAGGCCTAAATTCGACTTGCTCAGGAAGACTCAGCCTTAAAACCTTTGTGGAAAGAGGCAGGGTGTATATAAAAACAAAATAAGAAAGGCTTACAATTTCCTTTACCAGAAGGAGCTGCTGCTACCTCTGACCGTGTACCTCTTAGTTCTACAAGACAGGTCTATAAACCTCCTCCCAACTCAGGCCCACAGGACACCCACCCCCAAACCCGGTGTTGGGAAGAGACAAAAAGGAGATGCAGGACTGGGGGGGGGGGGAGGAGACGTGGTGGGGGGTGAAAAATGGGGGGTGAACAGTGCCTCACCCTCCACAGGCCTCTCCTCAGGCCGCGGGTCCTCGCTGGGGCCTTTGTCTGAAAAAGAGGGTGTCAGGCAGCCATGTTCATCATCTCCTGCACCACCAAAGTCAGGGCAGACAGGTGGGGAACGGCAGGCCCAGACTCTGGAGCATGGCATGGTGACTCCCAGATGGGATCATGGACCCCAATTTTGCACAAGCACCTGCCCTCGCCTCCATGTGAGCTTCAGAGACCAGATATCCTGTGACATTTGGTAAACATCCCGTGGAGACCAGCCCTGCACCAGCCTGTCCTTACATCTACTGCCTGCCAGGTTCTGTTCTAGGCATTGAGGACACACAGAAACAAAACAAAGCCTTGTCCTCCTGGTGTCAGACATTACATACAATGCCAGATGGCAGTGATGCCGTAAAGAAAGACAGAGGGAATTCCCTGGCGGTCCAGTGGTTAGGGCTCCACGCTTCCACTGCAGGGGGCAGAGGTTCTATCCCCGGTCAGGGAACTACAATCCCACATGTCACGTGGCATGGCTGGATGAGGGGATGGAGGAAAGGCAGGTGGGGCCGTGGAGCCATCTAGGGTCACGTGGTCCTGGCGCATCTGACAAGATGACACTGTCTCTGGCCTGGGCACAAGGGACCCAACCTTGTCCCCAGGTGCCCGTCCAACAGGCAGCAAGGTCGTGGCACAGTGAACAACAGGGGAGGTGAGGGCTCAAGCTGTACAGAGGAGGGGCGAGACCGGCCTTCGGGGGCCGAACACCTGGGCTGGACCCAAATGTCCAGGGAAAGCAGTGGGGTGGGAGAGGGACACAGGCAGGGAGGGGGGAACAGTGTGTGGGGGGAGGGTGGTGGCAAACTCAGAGATGGCGGATTTCCGCAGCAGGATGAACTCCAAGTGCGGACAGTGGAAGTGGGGTGCAGGGGGTGGGGCACAGGCCGACCGGCGGGCTGCAGGGCCTCCATCAGCAGCAGCTCTTTGGTGCCAAGAGCTGGAGGAAGGCGTGGGGACTTTCAACACTTGAAACAAACAGAAGGAAACTGCGACTTAGGAAGTTTGCTGTGTGTCTGCCAGGTGCTTTCCCAGGCGGGGCTAACCCTTAAACAGCCCTTCTCAGCCCCTGACACGAGGCTGAGCTGGTGAGGGCTGGAGAAGCCGGACCCCGGGTGTGCTCTTGGCCAGCTGGTGGAGAGGATCCTTGGTGATGAGGGATGTAGGGATGTTCCGGATGGGATCGTGAGTGGGAAGGAAAGGGGCTGATGCTGGGAGAGCTGCCCATGGTCAAGGCCCACTCACGGACGGAGGGTAGGGGAGCCTGCATCTGGGACTGCCAGACAAGCCTAAGCCTTGGGGCTCAGCCCGGAAGGTTCTGGAAGGTTTCATCTATGCTCAGCCTCTGACTTAAAAAGGGCCAGGCCTGAGCTTTCGGCCTCAATTTTCCTCATGGCAATAGGTACACTAGGTAGATGCTGGGCCCACCTGACTCTGCCTGGATGCTTTTTTCTGGCTGTGGGAGCAGACCAGCAAGGTACAAGGGCTGGGATCAATGCCTGGAAACAGCTCTCAGCCAGTGATGGAGGGCAGATCACCAGCCCAGCTCCCAGCTTCCTCAGCTGCGTTAACTCAGGTGTGTGATTTACGTGGGCTCCCGTGGTCCCTCACAGCTCAGCTGCCCACAGGGGTGACGGGCCTGACGGCACTGCTGTCCTGTCCAGTCCCCCTTCGCACCTGGACTGCCCTTCCCGGACTCTCCCCCCAAATGAACGAAGGCCCCTGTCTCAGGGGAAGCCCCTGGGGGATCCCAAACTCACCAACTTCGCCTTTGCCATTTCTAGACAGAGAGGGGCAGACAGGAGGAGTCTGGTGGGGACAGAGGGACAAGCAGTGCTGCCAGGGAGGGTTCCCTGAATCAGGGAGCTGGACCTGTCTCAGGGCGGAGGGAGATGCCCAGATGTCACAGTGGCAGCACCGATCAAGTTCACGAAATGGCTTGAGAGGAACAAGAGGGGAGATCAGGAAGTCTGTCCCCGCTCTGAGCTGTCCGTGTGTGCAGGGCCACCCCCAGGCGGTAGCAACAATCTGAGAGCCAGGCAGGTGACCGGACCCAGACACCCACAGGGAACAAGCTGAGCTCTGTGGCTCCACTAAGGAGGGGTTTCTGCCAGCCTTTGTTGTAGGACCCTGAAAACAGAAGGAAGCGGGGCCAGGTCCTCTCCCGGGGGGCGGGGGGCTCTTTCAAAGGCAGCAGGAGATGATGACCTGTGCACTTTGGGGGCCCTAATTCCAAACGTGAGAAAGTTGCCTGCTTTTCCCCCCTGGCATGGCGCGGGGCTACTTACCCTGAACAAACCCGTCCATGTGCTCACTGCCTCCCCATTTTCAACCTTGGTAAACGATCGAGGGCGTGACCAGAGATGCCCAAGGAACCAGGTGAGCAAACGAGGGATGATTTGTACAATACAGTAACAACACCAGTTGGGAGAAGCCTTTCCAACAGAAATGGCACCATGCTGGTCCATGGCCCCCCAACCCCAGGGGCCTCCACAGATCGGGACCCCCTTGGTCTTCTTTTTTTTAAAATTTATTTATTTTTGGCTGCGTTGGGTCTTCGTTGCTGCGCACAGGGCTTTCTCTAGTTACGGCGAGCGGGGGCTACTCTTCGTTGCGGTGCGCGGGCTTCTCATTGCGGTGGCTTCTCTTGTTGTGGAGGACGGGCTCTAGGCGCGTGGGCTTCAGTAGTTGTGGCCTGAGGGCTTAGTTGCTCCACGGCATGTGGGATCTTCCCGGACCAGGGATAAAACCCATGTCCCCTACACTGGCAGATGGATTCTTAACCACTGCGCCTCCAGGGAGATCGCCCTCGGTCTTCTTTCTACTGCTGTGAATGCAGCCAGGTGACATGCGACTTCTTAAAGACCAGGCCACACTGTCAGCTCATCCTGAGCCTTTGGTCCACTACACTCCCCACACAGTTACCGGATTGCTTCCAATTCCACTCATGCCCAGCCCGTGCCTGACAGTATTCTTTCTTCATTACCAAGGTATTAAAAGCACGTCGCAACTGATTTAGGGAGTGACAAAGATAGATCGCTTAACCTAACATAGCTACTTTTTTGATATTTTCCCCCCCAAAACAGTGATTATGTTTTCAACACAGTTGTAAACACCATCGGTTTTGTGTCTTTTACAATCTCCCTTGTTGCCTATTTTTAGTGGCTGCCTAATAGTCCTTCAGGAGGATACCATTAACAGTTCCCTGAGAGCTGGACGAGCTTGTTGCAATTTTTCATGGTCATCATTAACGTTGGCACGAACATCCCTGTGCAGAAAACACTGTTCACATTTCAGACAATTTCCTCGGACCGGGTTCCTGCTGGACGTATGGGGGAGGGGGTGGTGGTGATCATTTTTTTTTTTTTTTTTTCTTGCGTTATGCGGGCCTCTCACTGTTGTGGCCTCTCCCACTTGCGGAGCACAGGCTCCGGACGCGTAGGCTCAGTGGCCATGGCTCACGGGCCCAGCCGCTCCACGGCATGTGGGATCTTCCCGAAACGGGGCACGAACCCGCGTCTCCTGCATCGGCAGGCGGACTCTCAAGCACTGCGCCACCAGGGAAGCCCGTGGTGATCATTTTTATGGCTCTTCAAGCTGACAAATTTCTCTAAAAAGCAATTTGCCCATTTGCGTTCCTACCAGCACCAGGTCTGTGCTCATTTCCCCATGTGCTCAGCAAAAGTTCTGTTCAGTTAAAAGGTGCAAGAGATGCCCCTTTGTTCAAGCCCTTGTTTCTCTGTGGCTACATGTGTTTGTTTACTGTGTCTTCTTCTGTGGCAGGTACTGGGATGTACTTACTACTCAGATCCCCTTCAAGGAAGAGCTTGTTGGCCTAGCAGCGGGGAGTGTGGTCAGCGGGCAGCTGCCCCTTCAAGGACTGCCCTTCCAGGGTGGCCCGCATCTCGTGACTGACTGAGGTGGAGGTATAAAGGCCAGGTATCCAGTGCAACTGGGAGCAACTCTAAGGGCCCTTTCTGGCTCCGAGCTCCCCGTGGGGTTGGTGGACGTGTTGCTGCAGCCAGATCATGGCTTGCCTTCTTCCTCGTCCCCCTTGTGCTTCTGTCCCCCCCCCCCTTACATAAGTGTTGATCCCAAGGGCAGCCCCTAATAAACACCCCACACATTAAACTCCATCTCAGAGACTGGGCCCCAGGGAACACAACCCATGACACACGTCCTGGGGCTGTGAATTTTTCTTGTGCGTTTCAGCCCAGTGCTCTGGTCTGTCAAGGCCACGGGGAACACCATTCTTGGATGGACTGACCATTCCTCCCCAAGGATCTGCAAATTGCATAATCTTGCTGCCTAAGGTCCCTTTATCCAACTAACTGACAAATGTTTGAGGAAGGACCAAGCCCTCCAGGACAGCAGGGGAAACTCTCCCCATGTGGAGGCTGGGGTCCCCCCGCAGCCCTCCCTTTCTTTGCTTGAAATTCAAATAACTTTTATTTAAATTGAAAACAATACTTAAAACTGCATTTAGAGTCAAAACCCTTTTGTTTATAAAAATCATGAGGAGCCTCCGCAGCTGGAGGGTCATCTGGAGATCTTGATGTCGTATGAGCCAACTCAGTCCTGTGGATGACACCACACTGGGTCCCCTCTGATGGCTCACAGTCGCCCACGTAGAAATCTGTTCCAGAACTGTGCCTGGGACTAACGCACGGTCCACCTGTTTGCAATTTGGGCAAAACCTCATCTCCAAGTCTCTCTCTGTTGTCAGCTCATCTGTGTCCGCTGGGACTTTTCACGTCCTATGGACGTCTTAGGTATTATCCATAGATCACACTCATCCACAGCAGCTCTGAGGACCCTTTATATCTCCTTATTGAACTGGACTCCCAGGTCCTCCTCACTCTTT